ACTCATTCTCAACGGCGCTAAAACGGCGAGAGAATAACACAAACATAGAATTGCCCAATGGCTAGAATGGCAATAACAATAGTTACAAAAAATCGGATTGAAGCCAAATGAGATATTTTATCTTCTAAAGTTTTATGAAAAAATTGCAAGAGATCGTTGCACGAATCTCGAAGTGTTACAGTACGATAAGCAATACCAAAACAAATTCCTTTTGAAATACTGATTGTTTTTTCTGAAAAAAATATAAATTTCCTTTTCAAGGAAAAACTAATCGAGAATTTATATACACTTTTACAGTTATATCAGCAAGTCTATAAAAAAATTAAAACAACCTTGTTCCCATTTGTTGTCACCGATTCCGCAAAATGATTCAATTATCGAGATTAAAGTAAAGCAAAACCGAGTAAAGTACTGCAGCAAAACAGAATAAAATCGATTCTGAATTTTGCTTGATAAATTTTTTTCTCTTTTCCGTTGAAATTCCCAAAATCCCCCGCTTAATATCATCGAAATGTACAATAAAAAACCATAAATAAATTTATACGAAAAATAAACATTTTCTTTACAACATTCTCCTTCTAATAGCGCTCATAATTTCTAGTTTGATTTGATTTGTTGCATTGACTATGGGATCATTTTGGTAGCGAATCACCTGGACATGCGGAATGACCGCTTCACCGCTTCAGCACCGCTTATTTCAACTTTAATTCTTTAATTGTTTAGTCAGCTTGATTTTTTTTGTGCAAATTTTTCATATTGTGCAAACATGAAGTTTTTTTCAGCATAATATTCTATCAGTTTGACTTTTCAGCATAAAATTTTTTATATTAAGCAAACATAAAATTTTTTTTAGCTCATTACTGCGAGCAGAATCATTTAATTATCCATTAACATCAATTCTGTTGAGAAATGAAAAAACAATGGCATCGGTACATGACTTGAACGCAAATAAAATCGGATAAACCGATGCCGTCTGTAAAAATAAAATAATAATTGAAGGCAGTGGGATAATATTCGCCGGTCACGCTTTACTTATTTTAGAATAACTTGATCTCGCTTTATCAGGACAACAGAATAAAACTGATCACCGCACTTATTAATAAATTATTCGCCACCTCAAACTTGAGTAACTAATTCACATTAATATATAGATAGAAAAGACAAAATTTGATTAAATCAAAGAAACTAAAGGCAAAGGCAAAAGAAATGAAAGAGAGAATAAGGCAAAAAATAACAAAAATTGAATATTTGAAGACACAAATATTGGAACCCAACCGCTTTGGTCCTTGATGGCTCCTAAATAAGGGAAGAAGAACGATTTTTTTGAGAACATACAATATATACTACAAATTGATCTTTATCTTTTATTGACGTATGGAATGGAATAAACAGAGAATCGATGTTAATGAAAATTAATGCAAGTTTTCTTTGGCAGATTAAGGTTACCAGTTTGAAATAATAATTTTAGAAAAAACATAGAACGCACCGCGACACCGTCCTTATGAACGAATGTTTTCAAAAAATGTAGAAAATATTGAAGAATATAGTATTAAACATTTTTAAATACTGAGATTGTAATTTAAAGCTAAAAATTTGCAGTACAATTTCTTTTTTCTGATATTTGGAAACAAATCAGCAAAAAAAAGATCGAACTATATTCAATAATAAATCTATTCTCTGTTCAAATATTTCACATGTAAAAATTGTAATTTTATAAGAGAAGCCTAAATGATGCTTATAATAGACTATGGATGCCTTATTCTTTCACCCAATACTGATTTGGTTAAGCACATTGTTAACCAGAGTAAGTCTCCCAAGCCTTCTGATCCTATGCTATACCTGAAAATGCTAAAACTATTCATTTTTTCACTCCATTCTACGGATGGGACTGAAATCCATTTTTATGAATGATATCTTAGCTATACTTTTATAAATTTCTTAGAGTTTTTATTTCCTGCATCATTAAAATATTTTACGCAATATTCTCTAAAAAGCTTGTCTATAAAATTCCAATCTATACTAAAGTCTAAAGTAAAAAACGATTGGAAATTAATGATTAAAATTTAGTTTGTGCCAAAAAAGTGCATTTTATGAATGCCGTGTACCAAGTGCATTTTATGAATGCCGTGTACCAATCGATTCAACCATTCACTCGCATCAGTACTATTATGTTAGACTAAATCAGGTCAATTTTGACTGCAGTGTATGTAAATAATCAGAATTTTCTCATTTATAAATAAGAATTGTCCTGGACCAGCTTTACGGTAATTCTTTCTCTTCTAATAATCATTTGTGGTTCATGCGCTTTTATTAACTCGTGTGTTTGAATGAGACTCCTTTGTATACGGCTGTTTGAAGGTAGAATTACGAGTCGGTTCGCAGCAGCAATTCCATATCCAAAGTGACCTTTAAAAGCATCCATTAATTAAACGAGAAAGAAGACAGAACTCTATAATCGTTAAATGTTGAATAACTCGATTTTTCTGAAAGCAATCATAAATTTTTTCGAAAGTATCAGACACAATATAAGTTCTGCGCTCGAAAAAAAGATTATGAAACAGAAGAAAATGAAAATGAATTGAAGTGGATAAATTTAAAAAAAAAAAGGTAACTAAATGGCATTTAATAAAGCTAACCAAAAGAAGCGTAAAAATTTTATGGAACTTGTTTTAGTAGTTTATGAAAGAACACGTGAATTATTGCCTTTACAAATAGGTTTATGAAAAATAAAAAAGGAAATTTGCTTTCAGGAAAATAGTGAAGCTGAAGTCGTATAATTGGATCATTTTAACTAGAATAATAAAACCAAATAAAATTCTATAAAAATTCAGAATGAAAACTTCTTTAGTCAAAACTTTCAAAACTTTAGTAAAACTACTATGCGTTAATTTATTTTCATTATTACTAAAGTGACTGGAAATTCTGATTCGACGCCAATTTTTCACGCTCATATTATTTAGAAAAAATTTTTTAAAAAATTCTCTCCATCTTTGCAAATATATAATAGATTCAAATAATGATATGTTTATATAAGCGAATTTTCTTCAATTTCTCACAACCATTCGATAAATATTTATATAAAACAAATTTGATAATATCATTTACGACAGAATTTCCATTTCCATTAATGATTTGATCTTCTTTGAAGTTTTTTACCTTTTCATTTTTTTCAATTTTTCACCAAAAGTCTTTCATAGAAGAGAATTCGGACTATTTATTAATTTCATTTCTTCATATAGTCCTGTTTCTAATGGTCATGTGATTGCTTGGCAAAAATTTCTCGCCAAACTAACAGCCTAACTAGAAATGATAAGAGACAACCACTTTTTTCATACTATATTTGCGAAATTAAATTAAACTTACTTAAAGAAGTCGTCCAGATTTATGTTGAAAACCTTTTTGAAATAGTTAGCTCCTGTCGATTACGAAAGAAGCATGAAAATAATGAGCGGAAAAATAATGCATAACCATTGAAATATTTACCACTCGTAAAGCTTCAAAAGCTTTAAGTATTTTTTTGAACAAAATTTCTTAATTTTAATCTTACCAGTGATTGACAAACGATCACAAGATATCTCAATAAAAGATGCGATTTTTTCTTGTACTAGTAATTGGCATTCGTGTTGGGCTATGTTCTTTGCCGGAAACAAATATGAAAACGGTATGGAATGTTATTTACTATCATTATCGAAATAAAAAATTTGTTCGAGAAGTACAAAACGTGTTCAGATTGAGTTTACAAATATTATTGCGTATTCTAATTAGAGATAACATTAGTGACAACTCTAGAAGTGTGCGGGTATTTTTACTTTTTATTCTGAAAACGAAAATTAGTTGATTTTTCTGCTCATTCCAATGGGTGATGAATTTAGCTCGATATTATTTCTTACTATGGCTATCCAGCTGAAGAGATCCCAGTGGAAACAAAAGATGGTTACCTCTTGAAAATACATCGTATACCCGCGCAGTTGCAAAGTAATAACTCAATTTTACTATGACAATAATAAAATAAAACTGAATTTTCAAAGAATTTGAATAAAATTTGGATAAAATAGACGGAAATTAATTAATAAAAATATGAATGAATTTCAGAGCGATTTGATGGCTTTGTAAAAAAACCACCAGTAGTTTTCCTTCAACATGGTTTGCTTGGATCAAGTGCAGATTGGATACTGAATACTCCAACTAACTCCTTAGGTCTTTTCGTTGTCTTTTCATTTTTCTGGAAAACTCATTGAATGAGCGCTTAACTTTCGCTTAAGAATATAATATAAAGTGAAATATTCATTTTGATATGTTAATATAAAATTTCTAGGATTTTTGCTCGCAGATTTAGGCTTTGATGTTTGGATCGGTAATTTTAGAGGGAATATTTATTCACGAAGCCACACTAATCTCACAATTAAAGATGAAAAATATTGGCAATTTTCGTACGTTTTTTTTTCACATTTACTCTCGCACAAATTTTTATTCTTATAAATTTTTTTATAATTATATAATTTTTAATCACTGTTTCGGTCCATTAATAATAGATTTGTGATGGATCGCCATTCTTTTATCTTCTCACAGCACTGGCTACTAGGATGGGGCCAATTTGTTCATTTACGGATAGAAGTACAAGCTAGTCCACAGTGCGCATCGCCACTTTTAAAATAAAGACCGGATAAATAAATGAAAGAACATAACAATTTTTAAAGGTGGGATGAAATGGCAAAATATGACCTACCAGCCATGATTGATATGGTTTTGCATATCACCAAACGGTCTTGTATATATTATATTGGCCATTCGCAGGGTACACTCACTATGTTTGCTATGCTTTCTCAAAATCCTGTGTACAGTCAGAAGGTCTGTTTCTATTATGAGTCAAATTATGAGTCAAAAAAAAATTTTTGATTGTTTTTCATTTTCTTTTATAGATTCGTAAAATATTTGCGTTGGCACCAGTAGGTCGAGTTTCACATATTCAAGGAATTCTCGGTTTTCTAGCCAGGCACTTCCGTCTACTTTTTCCTGTAAGTTCTAAGTTTCAAAAAAATTACTTACCTTTGTCAACAAATAATTTTCTATCTTTGCGTTGGGTCTGAATGTGCGTTGCATGAGTGGATCTGTGGAGTTTTATGCACGTGCGCATTGGTACCTAAAGAAAAACGGTTGCAATCTCAAAAAGCGATGTCTCTACCCAACCCCATGATATTTCGATATGTATCTTCTGTTATATTCAATAAAGATTCCCTTGATCCTGTTAAATACTATTCAGCAAATTCCATGCCTCTCTCAAAAGTTTTCGAGGTTGTTGAACAAAGGCTCATAGCGCTGGCCCTTAAGCTAAAGAGGTACATTAGAGAGGTTAAATTTGTTCTCCAAGGAACCGTTGAAGGTTTACTCTCAATTTTAGTGCAATAAATTGTAATGCTGGAAAAATACACGTGAGAAACAGAATATTCATAACACCAATGTAAAATATCTGCAAGAACTGAGGATAAATCATAGCAATATCCTACAGTAGGAACCAACTACCATCACAGTTGCTAACATTCAACAGCGACTCGAAAACATGAAAAGTTCGATAGCATATGGCTCGGACATGAATTCACAACTATTGGCTAATAAGCGTCTAGCGACACAGTTGAACCAGCTGAAAAATTCAATTCTGTCAGACATCATAACCATTAAGCTTCATGACCACATAGGCCAGTATATGAATGCAGTACAAAAAGGCACTGGGAACAACACCAGAGGCTCCAAACACCAACTGCTCATAGAGTCGCTCTAGCCTCAAAATCCTGGCAGACCAATCTATAACAGAGTAAATTCTCTCTATCTTTCATTATGTAACATAAAATATATTGGCGCTGAATCCTTTAAATTCCATGTTATGCCTCTAGGTCACCACTATACGAGCAATTCATCATAGTTTGGATTAATAAAAGGAAAGTCTATGACTCAATGCACCACATATGGATCTATGAATATCTATACAAAGTCGTTCATTGAGAACTCAGTGGGACTGTGGAAAACGACATTTGAAAACAACTCGAAATAGCTTGCATAAGTAGCAAATTAAGTACGGCATATACCAAGGCGATGCATTGACACCCCTATCGTTCTGTATATATCTAAACTCTCTCAGATAATCACCAGAAGCGGATATGGATATAAATTTGAGAGCAGGAGTACCATCAACCATAACCAGTATATTTTTTTACATGGATGACATCAAGTTAAGTGCAAAAGGTGAACGAGATATTGACCCGCTCATCCGTCTAACTCGAATTTATAGCAAGGACATTGGGATGTCATTCAGATTAGAGAAATATATAGTCAAGTCGTAATAAAAAGAAAAATGACTATCGAGGTGGACCTGCCGTCAGGACATATAGTGGACATACAGGCTAGCCACAAGAACCTTGGTATCCCACCAGTCACATGACAACTGCGAAGTGACAAGGAAAAC